GACCCTGGAATCTAGCCTTATGAGGCTAACCACCATTTCCAGGCATCTTTCCAGCTGCAGCTTATCTCACTGAACCACCCCTACATTACTGTTGCCCTTCATACAGGGGGTTGAACAGATTTGCACCACGTGCCACCGGAATGGCACTTCGTTATTGCCCAGTTGTAGTACATGGCACCTCAATTCCACAGATGCTGTGTGGGCATGCATGATGTCAAGTCCCAGGGTGAATTCATTGGTCATTTTTGGGACAGACCCAAGTTAGTGAGCACCACCCTGGAGTCAGTGTCACCAACACTTTGTTTAAGATTGGGAAGTTCCCTCTCAGTGCTGTCCGCAGGGTGAACTTCATGGGCATTTCTCTCTCAGGCAGTCCTGCTGCGATGTCTGGCCAGGCAGTAGTCACATGACATAACTTTTCTCTTGTGTCCATCCTTCGTTGTGCAGACTGTCATGGCTGCCCCTTTCCAACACACTGAGTGCATAACAAGGGAGCCAAAGTGATGAAATCGTCATTTCATTATCCATTCTAAGTGTATTTTCAGTCATAATTGATCCTTTTCTGGGATGTGTTACTGGTGGTATCCTCATCGTTGGCAATTCCTCTGAATATGGCTGATGCTCCCACACTGCCAGCATATGGGTTGTTCCATCCTGCTATACCTGGTTCTTCATAAAATGTAGGCACACCAACCCTACACACATGGGCTGCTGCTGCTGCATTCGAGCCACTTACATCATCCCTTCTGCAGAGTTGATGCATCTTTGCCCAACTCATAGAGACAGTCTCTTCAAAGATGGTGGGTGCTCATGCAGTGCCAACGCATAAGCTATCAGTGGTCCGTTCATTCTGTTGTGGGGGACTGACTCTTCCCAGACTCTCTGGGTGTCATTTGCTGGATCCTGAGGAGCATTATAATCTGCCTCCAGCTGAAGGGCCTTGCTAAGTATCTCCTTGAGCACCAAGAGCAGCTGGCATTGTATTTATCACTCCCACACCTTGCCGGCAAATACATGGTCAGCTTCTCTGCTGATATTTTTTTGGGGAAAGTCGACCAGGATACAGTTTGCCAAGTGGTCTATGATAGCATAAACTCCAGCATGGATTCCCCGATGCACTGGGTTCTTCTCTTCACCTGATTGTAGAACACTTCTTCCAGGTGTTGGTCACCTTAGTCATTCTCAGGCATTGCAGTAACCTCGTCATACTTCGCCTCAGTAGGGACACCATATACGAGGGTTGGAACTTTAATAGTTGCAACACTGCTGTGGAGACGCCATGCAGCAGAAGCAAATAATGTCGCTTATACCACACGTTAGTTAGATACCTACCTTACCGTAGAGCAAATGGACTCTCCCTTCCCATATCACGCACATGCGCAGTGACGAGAAGACCAGAACCTCATGTTAGCTGGCGGTCTAATGTAGTGTTGTCACAATGTTTTTGAAACAGGAACAGCGGAGTTGGATAAAGATTGAATGTGCAAGAGGCTTTACAGCACAACAGTGACATCAAGGTCTTCAAGAGGCTTGCGGGGAATCTGCATTGCCTTACAGAACAGTGGCAAGATTGCTAAAAGCTTTCAGTGAACGATGCCAGAATGTGGTAGACATGCATCGGCCAGGTCGTCCTAGTGTCAGTGAAGAAGTATATTCTCTTTCTGCGTTACTGGAGAGTGATAGACACCATACGATTTGTGAGCTGGCACAAGAGACAAGATTAGCGCATACAACTGTGCTTCACATTCTGAAGGAACACCTGGGCATGAGAAAAATTACATCACGATGGGTTCCTCATGATTTGATGGAAATGCAGAAATGGCTATGATAGGACACTGTTTGTAACCACTTAGAGCGCTATGAGCGTGAAGGATAGGCTTTCTTACGCCATATCAATACGCTGGATGAGACATGGGCCAAATTGTGCAAGCCACAAATGGAACACCAATCAAATGAATGACGTCATTACGGGTCACCATGAAAATCAGAAGTTTCTCAGAACCCCATCAATGTGAAAGTTATGGTGATTCTTGTTTATGACTGTGGTGGTATTATCCTAACGCATACCGTTCCCTGACAGCAAACCATCAGTGCGCAGTATTACAGTTCATTTTTGGAAAACAGTCTGCGACCAGCTTTGAGAAAGAAGCGGCAACACTTTCTGCATAACCCACCCATCATTTTGCAGGACAATGCTTGGCTGCATGCAGCGCAAGCTGTGGCTGATTTGTTTGATCAGTGGGGCTGGGAAGTGCTGTACCATCCACCATACTCTCCAGACTTAAGCCCTTGTGACTTCAACTTGATTCCTAAGATGAGGGAACCACTTCGTGGCATTCGCTTCAGAACTGTTCCAGAGAATCTTCAGGCAGTAGACTGCTCCATTCGAACTCTCAACACAACAGGTGCTGCTAAAGCTATCCTACGACTTCCACGTCGCTGGCAACGGGTTGTACACAATGCTGGTGCCTACATTGAAGGACAGTCAAACTTCAAAAGATGCATCTATTTTGAATCAGTTGCAAATAAATAGTTGCCACTATTAAAGTTCCAACCCTCGTAGAATGTATGTGGCATAATCATTCAAGGTGGCGATCAGATATGTGGTGGTGTTGTGGGGCCTCCAGTCATTGTGTTCTGCCACAGTCTGCTGCATCAGTTGCTTTTCTCCCACAGAATCTGTGGTCATCGTCAGCTTCAGTGGTAGGAGTTCTTGCCACTTGAACAGCCCAGGCTTTGACTTTTTCAGCTGTGTTTTAACTCATTCGGTGCGGTTTCTATCTCGGATTGGAACTCATTGTGGAGCTCCATCTTTGTTTCAGGTATCTCCAAGCAGAGATTTCAGGCCCATGTAAAAGAACATTGTAACTTCAGCTGTTTCTTGTATCTGAGTTCCTTGTGGAGGCCCTGTGTCCATTGGTCGACAGACACCAGGACACTTTCCACTTGATTTTTTATGGTCTCCCCCAGTTTACAGTGATTGGAGGTTGTTTCAGCCTGCATCTTTTCTTGGTTGGTTTTAATTTTGCCCAGGTCTCTAGTTGCTAGGCCTTTGTCCTTCAGTGGTAGGCCTTAATCTTTTCTTGATTGAAACCTATCTGGGTTCCCATCTTTTCTTGAATGTCCTCTCTGTTTCCTTGAATGGCCTTCATTTCTTCTTGATTGGAATTCATCCTGGCATTCATTTCAGCCTGCGGGTGCGCCACCATTTGCTCCATTTTTATAGTATGGCAATATAACTCTCCATTGCAGTCTTCAGTCTAATCAATTTACTCCAGTATATCCTGTTTCTGACATCAGTTGTCAGGATTTGTTGAACACTTATAAATCTTTACCGCAAGTAATTATACCACTGTCGCTAATTCATGCACTCGACTTCCCACTGTGCCACAAACTAAGTCTTCTTATTTAAGATTTGAGGTTTTCACGACGGTGACTATGAAGAAAGCTATCTTCTGGGATGTGGCACCACATCTCAGAAGACGGCTTTCTTTAAGTCTTCTCAGTTTGTCTTCACTAGCCATTGCTAGGTTATGGCTGCCAACAGTATAGGTTCCTCAGCTTTCATGTCCACGTCCTTACCAGTTGGCAGCTGTCTCACTGCTAATCATTGCTTCAACAGTCATCTCTCAGCTAACTAACTTCAAGTCAAAGTCACATTGCAACTGACGGTAAGTCAGTAAGTCTTGGTGTCGAGCCCCATTTGGGGCTAATGACCAGATATTACTTATTACCGTTTGACAGTTACAGTCTTGTTTCTGTGGGGTGCCCTCTCTGACGAGAGGACGGGTCTGTCTTTGGCTAACTAACTAACTTGTTCCATTGATCCTTGTTATATAGCCTTGGGTCAGACCGCACAGAAAACATCACCTCCAACAGCTCCTGTTGTAGTGTGATGGGTCAGTAGGCTGTTTCCTAGCGATGAGTCGCTTGTTGATCAAGTCATTACCACGCTCTAGACAATGTTTAAGTTGTCATGTCACAGTATATTATGAAAATTTAATCAGTCTGTTTCAATTTGAATTGCTCGTTTCTGTATTTGTGTTGATATGAGTCCCTTTCTTTATTTACTTCTGTAATAAGATTTGTTCCTAATTTATAAATAATAGATACTGTAGGTGGATGCTCATGTGATTCTTTTCCGAGAATGATCACCCCAAAATCATAATCATTCCTTGTTATTGGGAAGTAGTAGTAGTTATGAAAGGGGAGTTCCGATAACCATTAAAGATAAAGGATCATAAGTACATACAGGTTTTGTATTTCTCAGTTCATAGGAGTAGCTGGTAGAATTGTAGCAACAGAACAATTACTTGTTTGAAAACAAAAAGACTTACTTCTCTTATGCACTTTTCTATTTACTGCAGCTGTTAGTAAATGTAGAATAAAGCGGCCTCCGTAGTCTGGGGGTAACGTTCCCACCTCATGACTCAAGGTACGCGGGTTCAAACCTGGCAGAGGTCATGGAATTTTTGAGGGCGGAAAAATTCAGGGAACAAGCCCTCCGGGAGGGACTTTAAGCCGTGTGTCCTTTGTCATAGATTTACGGCACATAAAAGATCTTCATGTCTCTAGGAGACCTCTGAGCAAAATTAGACAGTTTCCCGCCCAAGTAGTTCCCAGTTCCTCCAGTAGATGGGGAAGTATTGGGGACCACTACCGGAGAGGGCCGACCTCGCTGGCAGAACGGGGCTGATAGTGAGCACCAGTATTGGAAGGGCATAGCAGCTAGTTAGAATAATTAAAAAGGGGGACGCACAATAGATTAATAAATGGTCCCAGTGCATGGGGTAACCCACCACCTCCAAATAATAAAAATACAATAAAAAATGTAGAATAAATCATTCAGTGAAGTGTTCACAGAACTAAAACTGTGTTTCAGATGTCATCTTATTAAACCCCCTTTCTTATTACTGTCATTTATTTTCCATAATAACAAAGAATGGAATGTGTTGTTGTATGTTGAAAGAGGTTGGGAAAATTTAAATGTTTGTCTACAGGTCCAAGTAACTCCATATCACAAGCCATGAAGAACTTCTCCTTCACTTTGCCTGCGGGCAGTCCTACAGTTCTCCAGTCTCCAAATTCCGGCAGCCCCATTTTTGCACTGCCACAGTTTGGGACATCATCTGCTTTAGGTATGATCCTTACAGTCTTAATGTTGGTTAAATAATTAAAGAGTCAAGAATTCAGTCAGAATGGTATCTTTATTGCACTGGAGAATTGACTAGTTAAGAGTCTACATGAAGAATTTGAATAGAAATATCTCATTTATTTGAATGCCGCATGCAGTCATATACCATTCTCAGAAGAAAATGCATAATAAAAAAGTAAGAAAAGTTCATTATTTTGGCCTCTTTTCATATAGACATTTATTTAACCTTTAAACGCCGGACTTCGAAATAGTGGTAAGCTTGAGCTGGCCGGAGTTTATTTAAATGTCCGCTGCTGGTGCGCGTTTAAATGCCCGTTGCTACGCTGCGTTTAAATGTCCGTTCCTGTTAGGCGCTTAATCAATTTTAAGCGTTGTGTTTAAAAATGCTCTATCTAGCTCAATTTTTATGATAAATGGATGGAAATAACTTTGTTTATTTCAGAAAAGAACATAGTGTCGCATATTATAAAGGAAGATTTGAAATTTTTAATACAAAGTGTTGTACTCTATTTTCAATTTTTTGTGTTTTAATTTTGATGCGTACTGCAAAAATGGTTTCCCAGTTCTTCACAGAGTTGTTCTGCATTATAACTTCATTTCTGTTTGTAACACTTGACAAATTTTAGCAGTCTCTGGTGTCATAAAACAGATGGAAGCAATAAAATCATTTGGTCTTCTGCTAGCGCTGCTTACACCCTTCGGATTTTCGAATACTTGACTGAAGGTCAGAAGAATGAAAGAATGGCTATTCAAGAGAAAGCTATAGGGGTCCCCTCTTCAGTGCTAAGATGTTCCGTTAGGGCTGCAAAAGCTTATTGCCCCTTCTATTTGAATGAACAGACAGCTGCATCGTGGCTGAGATACAGAGCGTGATCTCTTTTGTGTGCGTTCGTAGTGAAATCGAATACTGTAGTTTCATTTGAACCTATATATACATCAAGAAGGTAACAACAAAAAAGGTATGTACATCGAATTTTACACTATATTTTTAACATACCTATCTGCAGAATCTGCAACAAAATTACTGGATTGTGGATAAGTTTTGGCATAACTCATACGTATATTTTTATTTGCTGTTGTTCAGTAAGGTATTATTTTAATTCCTCTATTAGGGTTTTACTTAAGTCGGTCTGGTAATTACTACATTTAAAAATAAATATTCAGGACTGTGCATGCGCTTCTACTAGCGGCGTGTGCGCGCGCTTCCACTAGCGGAGTTTAAATGCCTGACTGGCCACAACTGGGTACTTTGGCCACGACGACCTTACTCATGACTGGCACAAACTGGGCACTTCGGCACTTAAAGGTTAATGCATAGAAGGGTGTAAAAAAATCAGGATATATTTTCCTGCAGTGCTGTGATAAGTAACTACCATCATAAGTGATCATGTGTTCTGTTGTGCTGAAATCCTTTGTAATCTGTCTTACATAATGAATTAGATTTTCCCAATAAAGAAAGGGAGTGGAAAGACTGTCTGTTACACCTCAGGGGGAGGGGGTGAGGACTTATAAATACTTTCGTCGGTTATTACTCTTTTTCTAACATCTGCGTTGCACTCAGCTGCCGTCGGCGGACTTGGCTAGGGAAGCTCGGGCTCGGTTGAGGTCGGGATGGTTACTAACAGGTGAATCAGAACTCCCTGCGTACATTTTCCAATATGTACACTGTCTATTTACAATAATAAATACATTAAGAAAAAGGCCTGCTCTTATCTGTTGACATGACACTTCTCGCTTAACTCATTCTACCATCCTAGTTTGTGAAGGGGAGGTGCCCTGAAACTGCACTCCTATCGTCGTCTGCCACTCTCCGTTCATTCCTACCCTGTTCTACCCTGGCTCTCACTTGGTTCACTGGATCCTGCCTCATTATCTCACAATAACACTTGTATTAACAACAACCTTTAACAGCATGGCGTATATGAGCAAAGAGACTTACTTGCAATACACATGTAGATCACTGCCGTCATCCACCCTCGTATGGTATACATGTCGCCGAGGGCCTCCGGCTGACAACTCAATATTCTGTGATAGAACATGTTTCAAATCCCCCGAAATTCCCTAATTTATGGTTTTCTTTCGCTGATTCAGCGTTGACGACAGAGGGTAGGTGACTCCCCCTCAGTGTCCTCAATCCTCATAATAACCTCCTCATTGGCTCTCATGGGTGGTTGTGGGCGGACCCCTTGCGTCTTATTGCTGCGTAAGCAGTCTCTTACGATTAAATCCAGTGAACGAGTGAGGTAAGCTATTGCTCTGCGATTACAGAGACCTGCTGTGCAGTCACATTCTTAACCTAGTTGCCAGTCCCGGTGTTTACAATTTACGGCAATAGCTGCGAAACTCTTTTCGCAAGTCTCTAGCTTTTGGGTAATACCATACCCTCTTCAATCTCAAATTTGGGCCATAACACTGTCCAGAGATTTTTTTATGATGCCTTCTGACTAGAGATGCAGCTTTATTTTCTGATACGTAGCTATAACTCTGGCTACCAGTGTGATGGTTGTGTCAAGGATTGCAGGATTTTGCAAAAGCCACATGGGCATGTTATTTTCAAATGTTATGATTTTTTGTTGAAGAATCTGGTTTTGGTATTTTCTGAGTACAAAAGAAACCATGGATGTTAGGCTCTGTCTGCTTTTATGTTGGTACTCAGTAATACCTCAGAAAGAGAAACTGCCAGAGAGTTCAGATCTTGAATGTCCTGACCAAGAAAAACTGAATAAAGCAAAACAGTGTGTTACAGTTTTCCAGTGAGGGAACAAGTATAACAGGTCAATTCACATTAATTAGCAGTGATAACAGCTGTCATTGCAGAGGCATTGTGGAACCAGCTTTGATTCTTAGTGCTTATGTGATTTATTCAAGGCATGGGACTTGTAGGAACATAATCTGCACTCTGTCATAAAATATATATCTGGGTAAGGCCTTTAGATTCCAGATAAGATCTAAAGGTAAATGCAGTTGTTAGGTCTTTCATGTTACTGTAGGAATTTTGCAGGTTTTCAGCCCCAGCTGACCCGTCTAGAACACTATGGAAATCCTTTTACCAGCTACAGTAAGAACTTGCTTTAACTTATGACAAGTATTACATTAAGTGCAAGGCCTCCACAGCCAATCTGCAAACACTTTACAAGGTCAGGCAAAAGAAGTTGATTTTTTTTTTAATTTATTTTAAGAGCTGGAGATATTAATAACCTAGAATTTTACAAAGTAATCTCTCTCCAGTTTTTATAGTGTTCCAAACACTTGGGTCATTGTTCAAAACAGTTTCGAAAATCCTGAGCAGGAATGTCTCAACAGTTTTTTCTCAAAGATGTAATGTCCTGAGTGTCCAAGAAACGCTTTCCTTTCGGCACACTCTTGAGTTTTGGAAACAGGCATAAGTCAGCTGGAGCCAAGTCAGGAGAGTATGGCAGAGATGCCTTTTCATGCTAAAAACAAGTGTTTGACAGATTTTACATGAACTTTTTAATATGAAAAAAGTGTGCTTGAAGATGGTGCCAAGAATCCTCACTCCTGAGCAAAAGGAAACTCTAATGAACAATTGTGATGAATCATGGTTTTTTCAGTATGACTTGGAAACTAAGCACCAATCCATGAATTGGAAAAGTCTCAGATCACCAAAGAAAAAGCATGGAAGAGGAAGTCAAATTTTAAAGCAATGATGATTGTTTTTTTGTATCCCCCCCCCCCCNCCCCCCCCCCCCACAATATCAGAGGGGTTGTTCACATTGATTGGATGCGTGAAGGTCAGACCGTTAACTCAGCTTCCTGTAAGGAGGTTTTAATAGTCTTTCATGAACTGGTGAGAAGAAAAAGACCTGAAATGTGAAAGAAGGGTCATGGATTCTTCACCATGACAACATGCCGGCAGTCAACGCACTGTCTGTCAAGATGTTTCTGGCGAAGCACAAGATCCCCGTGTTGGGACATCCACCCTACTCATCTGACCTAGCCCCATGTGACTTTTTTTTTTATTTCTAAAAATAAAGTCTGCATTAAAAGGAACTCGTTTCGAGTCCATAGATGCAGTGAAGGCAAAGGCGATGGATGTCATGAAGCTGTCAGAAAAGAACCTACAAAATTGGTTCCAACAATGGAAAGAAAATATGCATGGAGCTGTGTAGGGGTCAGGGAGGGGACCACTTTGAAGGTGATAGCATTTCCATTGTGTGATTAGTTGAATAACAGATTTTAGAGCATCAGGCCAGTTATTTTACAGCTGCTTCGCATATATTTGACAAGGAGAGTCATGTTTTTGCACCTAGCAATAACATGATTAGCACATAGTGGAGCAGGGTAGGAATGAGTATTTGCTGTACCTCTCAAACAGTATGGGATAAAAATTCTTTCCAAGATGTATACCACAGTCTGATTCTTTTGCACTCTACTGGATAGCCAATACAGTGGTAGTACACAGTGCTGCACCTGACTGCACAGCCATGTATGCTTGTCACATTGTGTAATGAGCAAAACAAGGTACCATACATGACTGGAAACAGTATAACATGAAATTTTCATATAGCTTGGATTGCCTTCTGTGGTTTACACTACAGACTGTCACTCAAATGTAATTCCATCTACTGAAACACAAAGTTCAATAGTGATTTTTAAGCACTAGAAATGTGATCCTGAAGTGATACACACTCTGGTTTTTACAACACGTATTTCAGAAACTCATTGCATGTGGTATTCAGGTAAACACTGTATCGTATTTACTTCATACATTGTACCTGAAGCTCATCATTATTTCAATTTGTCATTGTAAATTCATTGTGTTAATCAAATGCCTAACATTTATATGGTTATGTATTTTTTTAATGCTACTGGGGTGGGACTAAGTCCCTTATACTGCGGCCACTTCTGGCGTATTGTACCAGCCTCAGATGATAGGCGAGGGTGATTGTGGAGCAATTGGTGGAATGAAGATTGGCAGGGGAACCGAAGTACTCGGAGAAAACCTGCTCCAGCACCACTTTGTCCACCACAAATCCCACTTGACCAGACCCGGGATGGAATCCGGGCCGCCATGGTGGGAAACCAGCCACTAACCACTTGAGCTATGGGGCGGCCATGGTTATGTATTAGAAAGATCTTTACTGTCACCAATTGTATCATTTTTGGTGAGAATGAATTTAATTACTATTTTGAATATATGCAGTTACTAACTGGTTTTCTCTATATTTACTTCAGTATTTGTTAACACTTTTCAGTGTCATTTACGTTTTGTTTGTAGGTTGTGCAAGATCTCTGTTTGGAGGAAGTTCTGTCCAGCAGTCTGTTCCTGCTGTGGATGCTACAAGGGACAGAGGTCAGGATTCCTCTTTCTATCTCCACTCATCACTTACTGGGAATTAACGTAATATGGTTTCAAAATATCATATAATGCTTTAATGTTGTCATGTGTTTAGTAATTAGACATGGGGTTTAAATTAGCAGTTGGATTTATTGGGCTCATAGAATTCCTAATTACAATTAATTACAGCACTGCAACTAATTCATGCTCTGTACAATTCACTACAGCACACACTAAGTGTTCTCAGTCTTCTGTGTCTTAACCAGTCATCGTCCTCTGTTAATGGATCCCAACCCAATAGATTCCTCAGCTTCCATGTCTAGCGGCTTCTGTCCTTTGTGGCTGGTGGCTTCCAACTGCACCATGGCTTCAGCTGTTATAACTTCCAAGCCATGACTGAGGAACTCCTTTCTCAGACTGACTTGTAGCGGCAGCTGGTTCTTGTTAGCCTCGGTGCAGACCTCACAGAAAACCCATTTTCTTGCAGTTGCCCTGTTGTAATGTGCATATCCATTGTGGTGTACTGCATATGGAACATTGCTCCCCACAATTCCTCTGTTGTCACTGTAACCAGCTGTTATGTGACTGGGTTGTCTTGGAGATGTGTATACAGAGCCGTTACTTAACAATGGACATCTGCTTGCTTCAAAATTATGTCTTTCAGCAGGCACGTTACATTGCACCTTCCTTAGGGCTACTTGTCCTGAGAAGCTCAACGGACATTTGCCTTTTTCTTCTTCCTGTTTGTGGGGACAGATCTCTTGAGAGTGGCCGGTGCTCCTACTGCCCCGGAAAGTAAGCTTGGTAGTCTCTTTCATCATTTGGGAGGAGGCCAGCTCCACAATGTCCTGGCACTTATTTTCCAAATCTTGACGGAAGAGGAGACTGCTCGCTTTATGATCTCCTGATCTATGGTCTGTATCAGGACCATGTTGTTTCCTTTGCTACCCAGAAGTAATTGCTCTTTTAAGCCTCAGTCCCTGTATTCTGGCCGCATTTGTTGTTTGTACCCGAACGCCCGCCCTTTAGGGGCTCCTTGTACATCGTCATCTTGGGTCTGCCATTTCACTGGGTTTCTATATACTACAGCTGGTTGCTGGTTCTCAGATTGGTTGTCAGTGCTCCAGTAGGCTTTCGGGCTGCCTCTTCATTAGGGACTTCTGGTGCTCTGCTGTGGCCTCTCGCTTTTCTTGATTGGTCTTTGACTTTTCTTTATCAACATCCATCCCTTATAACTGGGCCTCCCTCATGGCCTTTATTTCTTTTCGAAAGGCCTTGATCTCCTCATGCTCTGCATCTACCTTGGCTGTCATCGTTCCTTTATGGGCTTTCATATCAGCCACGATGGCTAACAGGCGTTCCATCATTTCTTCCATCTTCGTAGTATGCAACAAGACTACCCAGTGCAGCCTTCAGTCCAATTATTCAATCAGTCCAATCCAGTTATCCCACTCTGACACAATTTGTCATGTGTTAAGTGACAGACACAGGGCTTGGATTGATAATTGGTTTATTGCACTCTCAAAACTTGTAACTTCAGATAACAGCAACACTTTCACTAGTTCACACACTTCACAGTCCACTGTAGCATGCGCTGAGTCTGCTCTGCACATTAGGAGTTGCTTTGTGATGGGCTGCGCCATAGCTCAAGCGGTCAGTCACTGGCTTCCCACCGCGGCGGCCCAGGTTCAATCTCGGATCTGGTCAGGTGGGATCTGTGGTGGACAAAGTGGCGCTGGGGCAGGTTTTCTCCGAGTACTTCGGTTTCCCCTGCCAATCTTCATTCCACCAATTGCTCCACAATCACCCTCACCTATCATTTGGGACTGGTACAATAGGCCAGAAGTGGCCTCACTACAAGGGACTTAGTCCCACCCCACTAGCAATAAAAAAATTGCTTTGTGATGGCATCCACAGCAGTGCAGGTTCCTCAGCTTTGATGTTCAGTGGCTTCTGTCCTCACCAGCTGGCAACTCCCAACTGCTCCATGGCACCAGCTCATGACTTTCTAGTCATGATTCAGGGACCTTCTTTCTCAGACTGATCTGTAGTCAGAGTTACTTTACGACTTGGGGTTACCGCCGGTCAGCGTGTTTTGGCGCCAAGCCCCTTGAGGCTCAGGGCCAGAGATTTTTTTTAACGTGATCTCTTGCAATAATAGTCCTTATGTGATATCCTCTCTACATGATGTAGCCATTGCAGCAGACCACATACCAAAAACACTGCTCCAAACATTTCTTGTGTTGCATACATAAGTGTGGTTGCAGTCACGTGACACATACTGAGCCATTGCCTAGCAATGAGCATGTTTGCAAAGTCATTCCATAGCAATGGCTTCCACTGCTGGATTCACAATCTGACCTTCAGGTGGCGTTCCACAGTATTGTTATGAATCTCCCTTATTAACTTTATTAGTTCCAGGTTTGTAGTTTACGTAAAGTTATAACGTGAATTGTTCAGTGTGAATCAGTAAATTTTTGAGCTCAAATTATGTTAAGAAATTCAGTATTTTACTGTACTTTATTAAGGTTTGTTAATATGTATATGGTAACAGATTTTCAGCAGCTCAGATTTGAAATTTCTTATAAAATGTTGATACACACTGTCTAATATTCTTGAACATTGTTTTGTGAATATGATTTGGTGAAGGCTGCAAATATTACATATGGTAATGATCAGGTCAGAGCTGTTACATATATACAGACAGTAATGACAGTCTTCCCCCCCCCACACCACAGACCGCATCACACAGACACGACACAGTGTCGACCANACTTTAAGCACAGACAAAACTGAAGAAACTTTGCAGACTACATAAGATCTTAAATGTTTACAGTTTTTGTCTATTTTTAGTCTACTTTCCTTCCCCCCCCTTTTTTTAATAAAATTAGGTATATGAGTTCACCTTGCTATCTATGTTTGTATGTGTATCCCTCCCTATTAACCTTTGAATAGAAGAATGAATCTTTATGAAACTAGGTGCATGTACCAAGGCACCTGAGCCCATCTCAACAGCTTAATTTATAAATCCCTTCCATCAGTAATACCAACCTCACACCCCCTCAGATATCTGAGGTGAAACCTTAATATTGCTTGAACACCTGTATCAGTCTTCATGAAAAGTGGTGTGTGTGTGTGTGTGTATATATTGTGCCACTCAGGTCATCTCAGCAGCATACATCATAACTCTCTCTCATCAGTAATACCAACACCATGACTCTATTATTTGAATGCCTGAACCAGTCTGCATGAAACTTGGTATGTATAGCATGGCACCTCAACAGTGATCTTCATAAATCAGTGTGCTGTTTTATTGTCTTCTTTATGCATACATACTAATGTTTTCTTTCTGCTTATCATATCAGGTAGTCAAATTGAAGTGAAAGGAAAGCAGATGATTAGTTCTTCAAAGAATTTCTTGTTCATGTATGAGTTTATGTGCACATGTTCATATGTTTACATTTATGCGTAATAAGTTTTGTTCATGAAATTTTGTATGATCATCATGTTAGCTTTTGAATCTTAACAGTTGCAATGTGACTGAATTTCTTGGGTGCACACACTAGCACTGTTGAATATAGGATCAGAAATTCTCTGTGGCAATAGAGCTTCAGGAAATAAACAGTTATGTTAAGCTATGGTTTGTGTATAATGTGAAATGACAAAAGTGGATCCGCATTAAATATATTTATTTATTTGTTTAGCTGTGTCTTGCCATTACTGTTGAACTCCTGTTGACTTTTTCAGCTTATGCTAGTGATTCATTATGCACAGCTGTAATAATTTTTGTATGAAATGGTTCTTTGTATATATTAAAAATTCCATGTATGGTGATGGTACAAAACATAGGAACTGAAAATTCTGCTGATAGAGATCACTTGATACTATAATTAATGGATTCATTAGTTTTGATTGTGTCTTTATACAGATTGAAGATCTTCCTGGGGCTTTTCTGTTTTTCAGATGCACTTCTCTAGTAGTATTAGAATCACTGAAATTTCACATCTGTTACTTGATATTTAATTAAAAATTAAGTGTGTAATATTCTTAATTTGTAATTAACTCTTCAGGCTTGTTCAATGATACTACATACCCAGTCATATCATTTCCTTACTTACATATTCATCACTACGCCTCACAGTTCCACCAAGCAACACAATTTTTTTTTCTCCAGATGATGTGGAAATTGTGTATGAGCTTCAAGTGACCCCAGAGGAGGAAGCAGCAGCCATGAAGCTGAAACTTCCTGCCAATTTCTATTCTTACTTGTATAAGCCTCCATGCCCTGGCTGTGCAGGTTGTGAGACTGATAGCGACACTGAAATTGAGGTATTAAATATATTTATTCATAACAGTTGTAGATATATATATATATATTGTATTCTTTGGTCCAAAGTAGGTGTTTGTAGCTTGTGAGAATATTATTTTTTGCTTTTTCAAAGTTTGCCAGGGGAAAGTAATTGTTTCAGATCTACAGGAACAAATGCACAGAATTCCAGATTGTATTATGTAGTCATACTTCATAGTCTTCATAATTAAGCATAAGCATATTAGAGAGAACAATTGCAGTAGAGGTCTATTGTAACAAGAATGCATAATTGTACCAATATAGAAAAAAGGTGATAAAAACTTAGAATCAAATTACAGACCTATATCCATATTGACATCTATTAGTAAGATATCTGAGAAAGTAATACATAGTAGATTGTTAAAACATTTGAATGATAATAGTATATTAAGCAAATACCAGTTTGGATTTAGAGAAAATCAAGGGACTGAAAATGCAATTTATAGACTTATCTCTGGAATACTAGACTCATTAAATAAAAAAATGCAAGTCTGTGGGATTTTCTGTGCCTTAGAAAAGGCTTTCGATTGTGTTAGTCATGATATATTATTAAATAAATTGAGGTATTATGGAATACAAGACAAACAATACAACGTATATAAGTCACATCTATTGAATAGAAAACAGAGAACTGCTATCTCCAATGGGACAAACAGTAGTAAAGTAAACTCTCAATGGGTTAAAGTAACTAATGGTGTCCCACAAGGGGTGATACTGGGACCACTGCTGTTTATAGTATATGTAAATGACCTACATAAGATTTTGGAGACTTAGAGTATTCCCATTCTATTTGCTGATGATGCCAGTTTTTAATCTCTCAAGACAATCCAATAAAACTTAAAAATACAAAAAATGAAGTATGGAGGATGCTGGAGGACTGGTTTAAAAAGAATTTAATGTCACCTAATATAATGAAAACATATTATATAAACTTCACTGTAAAAAATAATGTAGTTAAGAGAAATGGTAGGCATAGGAACAGTTTTATTAAATACAAATCACATAAAATTTCTTGGCCTGACTATTCAAAATGATATAACTTGGGATAGACATATAGATGAGATAATAAAGAAATTAAATACAGCTTGTTACAAGATAAGAAATGTAAAACCAATGGTGTTTGTAAAAACATTAGAAAAATATTTGATACAAATAGGGATCGCTATGAAATAAATACTAGACATAATATGGACATACATATGAGGCAGGTAAATTTGGCGAAATATGATAATGGGGTAATTCACATGGCTGTAAGGATTTACAATGCACTACATAATAAAATTAAAGTAACTTCTAATGATATAAATAAGTTTAAAACAATTTAAAGGAATTTCTTTATTTTAATTCTTTTTATACACTGGATGAATCTTAGCAGTGTGTGGAAGACATAATCAGCTTAACTTCAACCAGATATGTAATCCTCCAGTCAGCCCTTAAAAATTTGATATGTACATATGCATACATAGCGTGATTCATGTACCTTTTGGTTCTCTTCCTTTCACTTGCAGACTTGCAAACAGTACTGGCTTAAAAGTCATCAAATGGAATGCAAAAATATTGACTTACATTTCAGGTCATGAAGTTCTTTTGGCCATTGTTACTGTTGACATATTTGCTTTTTATTCATGGTATCAGTTGTGTATTTTCTTAGTTGATGAGGAAAGACTAGAACTGTATGAGGTTCTATAGTTTGAGAATTGATGATTTATTCACTATTACACACAATAATTTAAAACTTCATGCAGCTTTACATTTCATAATGTCATTGTGATTGTCTTGTGCTAATCATGGTGCTGTATCTGTTGACATCTTGGTGGGGTCAAACTTATTTTAAAATAAATATTAAAAACCTGATCCACTGAAGTGTTCATACAAAAGTAACAAAAAACGGTGTGCAGTTACTGACAGTGTGCGGGAGACTGAGATTCGTGCACAGAAATGCAACAGCTGATGTGCAGCCACGCTCACACACAGCTTAGAGGGAACATTGAGCCTAAGTTTTCTATTTGCTGCACAATCAAAGCTTGTACATTATCAAAGCAAGGACTGGGGGAAGTATGCAGTAACATGTACCTTAGCTTTTGTTAATTTCAGACCTATGACCTTTGACGTACATGCCCAGTATTTTAACTCAGAGTTATTTCACTGAACGTCTGCTACATGTTCAGTAAAATCTGGAAGGTCACAGGTTCGATTACCAATGAGGTTTTTGGATTTTTCAATTGACTAATTCTTCCAGCTGCACTATGGACCTGGGATTCACTCAGCCTGTAACAGAAATGAACATCAGGACTCTTCCTGGGTGTTAAAGAGTGGCCAGAGCATAAGGCTGATGACATCACTACCTTCTGTGGGCTGATTGTCTAGTAAATGTGGGAGACTCGACATGTCACTACCCTATGGCCCTCCACAGCCAGTTACAGGGATAGCTTTACCTTATACCTACTACATAATACTTTTGTTTCCAGGTTCATAAAAGCCTACAAGATTCCACAGTGAAGAGTGATAGTGCTGCATCCAGCATTCAACCCAAAAGTTCGCCAGGAAATGAAAGTACTTCGTTCACTGCTCTGAAGCCCACAGTTTTGCTTAGGCCATCCAGACTTGCAGCTACAGCCACCACTCAGCCCAGTGAATCACATAGTCAGAAATTGGCTCATGAGACGTCTCCACAACAGAAAGTTACTTCTACTTCATTTGCAACAAAAGCATTACCTCAGTTTGTTTCTTCATCTCTTCCAACAGGAACTCTTTTTGACCAGTTATTAGCTCAAGGACAGCAGACTACCTCACCTACAGTGTTCAGTTTTCAGTCAGCAGAGAATTCAGTATCACAAGTCACTCCAGGCATATTCTTCGGTTCACTGCAAACATCAGCTCAACACCAGAGTTCCCTGTTTCCTCAGCAGCTGTCCAAAACAACCCATCCCCAGCAGTTAATTGCATCATCCAATGTGAACACCAGTATTACTTCTCAAACAACTTTAACCTCAGTCTTCAGTCACCCGCAGAGTTCCTCAGCTACCATTTTTGGTCAGCGTACAGTGCAGCCTGTTTCACTGTTTTCAGGCATCAGTTCAACCCCCACAACAACTATCATGCCACCATTAGGACCTGGTTTTACAGCACTTGGTCCAAAACCTGTACCCCCAGGATCAACTGGTAGCTCTGAGGCAACAAAACCTTCTGGTTTTGTCTTTTCTCCTGCTGGATCAAAACCTGCATCCGTGTCAGATCCTGTTGGAGAAAAACCTGTGAACATACGTTTTAGTGAAGTACTTGGTCTGAAAACCACAGTGGCACCTTCCACTCAGGTCTCTGTAGACCCAGTTTTCTCTGCACATTCTGCCAGCTCAGGCACTTCTGAACCTAAGCATGGTGGTTCCAGTTTCATTAAAACTACTGAGGCAGCAGAATCATCTTTCCAGACAAAAGAGGGGGAAGGTGTGCCTTTTCTACCTGTTGACTCAGATCTGTCTTTTGCCAAATTGGCAAGCAAATCAGAGAAACTGGGATTCAAGACAGGTAAGAATTCTGAGTTGCAGTTTAAACTGCAGGTTGTAGATATATGTTAGCTTATATTTCTCCTCTGTGATTTTTTTATTATTATTATTTATTTCTCTGCGAATTTACAGTCTACTCACTACAGCAAGGAGCAATAAGTAAATTGGTTAAAAGTAGGAGCATGAGTAGAGAATCAACCAGCGTCAATGCTCTTAAACAAAATTGATGCTAGACTTTATTGCTTAACCTAATTTTGTCTTTTCGGAAGGTCGGATGGCCGTTGTCTCTTCAGTCTCCGTACAACGTTGGGAGGGTCTCCTCTGTGATTAGAGCCCAAATAGTATGGATTTGTAGCATAAATCATTTGTCACATTTTCTGCAAGAGTAATATAACTGAAGAAGCTTATTGCATCATGTGTCAGTGACACTTTGGATTATATATTCAGAATACGCTTTTGTGCCCTGTAAAGTTATGAATTAAAATTTTGATGTGATCTTCAGATTTTACAGAAATAAATCAAAGCTCTATGAATATATGTGTATAATTGTATGGGTGTCCCAGAAATGGTTACAGAAAATTGGATGGTGAGTACCATGGTCTAAAAGAACAGAAATTTTTATATGAACATGGGTCCAGAATTGTTTCAGGAATGAACTGGTACCATTTGAAGATATTTAGCAATAGCAGGATTAGAACTGATTACAAAAGTAACACATACTGGAGACAATTATAAAGGAAGATGAAGTTTAGAGTGAATAATATGAATGGTTACATCTCATTCTGCATCACAGTACTAAATTCAGTTATTTAGTATTGTTTGTTGGTTTGCAACCATATATATCCTTTCTCTACCACATGAAGAATTCCATTACTGAGGTCTGCCAATCATGATAGCTGTTCCACAGGACCTCCACATCCTTTCCAGAAACTTGGAAAGTCCTCATGAAGCCTTTAAATACTTGATGTGTAGAAGCAATATGGTGCTTCATCTTATCAAGAATGCTTGTCCAGCAGTAACTGGACACTGTTGCCTGTCAGATTGAGATGGTTTTGTGCATTTCCTATTTCAAATATGCAAAGACTGACAAGCCAACTGCAATAAATTCCACCTAAAACACAAACTCCTGCTAAATAAAGTTCTTTTTCAGTCATAATGCAGATATTTCCATTGCTCGTGTTCACCATGTTGTGGGTGTTCATGTGACTGTTTAATTTGAAAGCCTGCTTGACAGAATCTTCCTTACACATTCCAGTTTAGCTTTCATTTCTGACACAGCATTGCAGCAGTTTCTTGTTGATCATAATCCCCAATGTGAAGAGCATGTATGAGTGCATGCCATAATATTCCTTGTATACTCTGTATGATCTGGTTTAATGTTCTAATTCAGAGGATTTCCTTTATTTGAGGTTTTGAAGGGCTCTGAATTAACTTGCAGCAATCATTTCTACAATTTCATCATTTTTTTTATGTGTATCACATTTCGGAGCATTAGCTGCAGAGATAGTATCACATTTTTCAGTATTCCTGGTTTTGAGTACCTCTTTACAGTGAAAATTCTTTACTGTAAAGTTAGTTTTTGTATCTCTTGTAACTTTATGGAACACCCACTTGCAACATAAATATAAAAAGGCATGAACAATATAGGTGTAAGTAAAACTGATATTACTGTTGAACAACCAGTATATCTGATCCATAACACCAGAACTAGAATAATCACTCCTTAATCCCCTTAGAACTGGTGTGATCAAGCAGTAATGCTGAAGTTCCTGGTATTGTTTATTGTTCTTTTAATTGAGAATTGTTTGTACTTTTTGTGTTGTACTCCTAATATAAGGAATGAGAAATTAATAATTAGCAACAGGTGACTGGTCTCAAAGGGTCACATTGTAGTTCAGTGTAGCCCAGTTTTTGGTTATACCCAGTGTAACAGTTGTTTCAAAATTGAATTTTATTTGACTCTATGTTCTCTGTGTTTTCTTTTGAATTGTATTTCTCATGATGGTTATATCAACTTTTTAAACCAAATGGAAGTGAAAAATAGTGGAAATATACATAAATTACCTACTATGCAGAAACACTTAATTGTAATAAAATTACCAGCTCGCCTTTTCTGGAACAAAATAAACCAGTATGGCAGGACTGTAGTAGGATGACAATGTAGGATTCATGCTTCCATTTGAATTTTTTATTCAAACTGAAGGCACAGAACTTTCCTCTGGGATACCTTAAGTCAAACCATGTTAGAGAACTTATGTCATACAGAACTGCCAATAATTACAATAATTAAATCTCAGTTATTCAAACTGAAAGCATTGTAATCGATATGCCTAAAACATGCTCTTCATCAGTTCAGGATGTTTTCAGCATCCGCAGACTGCAGTAGTGCCAAACCAATGGAAGAAGCGGAGCAAAAGTTACGAGTGCATTAGTGTGGCTGATGCTATTTCATGTTTCACATGCTAGAACAAAATTGGTTACATGGCATGTAAAGATCGTGTGTCCATGTCGCCTGTTACATATCCTTTAGTAATGATCTCCAGATATTATTCATGTAAATTGTAGAAAATGTAATTGATTAATAATTAAGGAATAATGTGTTTTAATAAGATGTGATAGGTTCTCTTCTTGTATTTTGTACTTATTTGAAGTGTCATTTGATTGTTTAAACATAGGCGGTAAGTTTGTTGTTAATATGACTTTCTTTATCATCATATTTCTCTTCACTGAACTGTATATGAAGATTTCTTTTGGGAGTTTGTATTTCATATGTTTCCCTAACAAATTCACTTTTATTTAAACAACCTTTGTCTATAGATACCAATGTTTCATGGGCTGGAGGTAGTTCACTTGCGTTCAGTAACACTCCTAAACAGCAAGCTTCCAGAAAGGGAAGAGATGAAAATGACTCGAGTGGTGATGAAGGCTGTGCTGATGCTACTACAAACGGTTCCCATGATCCTCACTTTGAGCCCGTTATTGATTTGCCTGATAAAATAGAAGTCAGGACAGGTGAAGAAGATGAGACTAAAGGTTGGTAGTTTTTTTCTCCCCTCCCAAGAAGTTCTTTGCCAGCTATTTTCAAATGGTATGCTGTGGCACGCTGGTGTCACTTGAATGGTTCGCATGTATGCCACAGGGGTCAGGGGAAGGTTGAAAAGTGAGAAAAAATTTAGGAATAAAAGATTCATCAAACTCTGTGAACCACGTTATTTTTAAAAATAACACCATGATTAGAATTTTAGCTATTTTTCAACATAATCATATTACTCATTTTTTAAGATAAAATCTCTCCATAAAAATTGATGGTGTACCTCGACACTTTTAGCACCTTGTTCAGTGTGATGTGAGTTGAAAATGTTGGAAAACTTTGTTCTATGCAATGTCTGTCTGATGCAGTCTCTGTAATATGGTTATTACAAATGTACAGGTAACCCTTGATTTATGAAGGCAATTCTTTCCGTGGAAACTGTTTGTAAGGTGAAAATTTTTTAATCAAAAATGAAATTCCCATTACTGTACATGCCCACGAACTTATGAACTTAAATTGTTTGTTGTAGCAAAGATGAAGATTGTTAAGAGAAAAATATATACAAGTTAACATACTTCATTGGTAAAATTATTTTGTTACCATTAAAATTCTTATTTGTTGATGTATCTTTACTGTTGTGTTAATTTTTATGTTAAATTAAAAGGTGAAATATGGGAAATGGATATGGTCGATGAGGAATCATTTCAAGTCCCTACTTGTCAAACTAAAAATACATCTGCCGCACCAGAGTATCAAATAAGGACCTCGTTATGATTATACATGAGAGTTAACCCTTTCATGGCCAAATTAACCATATGTACTACCTTCTGGCATTTTGGACTCCTTTGCAGATTGTTATATGCTCAAATACTGGTTATTTCCAGAATTTTAATTGCTTATAGTTGTAGGTTGTTGTTTTTGTTTTTGTCATCGTTGTCATCATGTACATGCAAAGTCATCACAGCATGGTGCATTCTTAGGTCGCAGATGGGGGAAACAGCCTCCAGTTATGTAAGATGACTGTGAATGCACTGAATAAGCTAGTTGCAGATGTCAACAAGGGGTGGTGCACCATAAGCAGTCAGCTTATAACAGACTGCTGCACAGAACCTCTGACTTGTATGAATTATTTGGAATGGTCTGAACCAGTGTTTCTCAACCTCCGGGCTTCAACCCAACACCGGGCTCTCGTCTTATAAAGAAACAATTTACTGGGCCGTGGTCTCGGAAGAACCACTGGTCTAAACCATGGAAGATGACAGATTTGGAGCTTGGAATCTTGGGGAGTCAGGGCAAGTGCATTGAATGCAAGAGAATTAACAAAGTGTAGTTGATTTAGTGAGAGCACAGGAAGTCGGATGAACACTTGTACTGAACCTACAGGCATTTATATATTTTTCTATTGGGTGTAGGAATGTTAATCCATATTCTGTGTCTTAAAGTGGTTCTCAACACAAAGGATCAGTGCATTCACAAACCAGATGACATTTGGTAACTGTGACATGCTGCAGCAGTTGTGTTTTCACAGATTATTGAGATTAGAATATGTTCAAAGATGGGGTTCTGTTTGAACCTTTATTATTTTTGACTGATTGGAAGTAACACTGTAGGATGTATAGAATCATATGGGATGATGTTCGTACTCCACAGTAGTGTGAAATTGCAAACATTTTTCATCTGGTTTCTGTACGCTTTTCTTCGAAATTAGTTTTGTAATGTATTTTTTCATTGTACTGATTTTAAGTGTGGTTCATTTTGTGATGCTTTGTATGTTCTGCAATAATCTAAAAGTGTGGTAATATGGATACTTTATCTACACACTTGTTTTTACAGTATTTTGTCATCGAGCTAAACTGTATAGATATGAAGCAGCCACAAAGGAATGGAAGGAAAGAGGTGTTGGAGAAATGAAAATCTTGCACCATCCAATTAATAACACTTACAGATTACTGCTTCGTAGGGAACAGGTAATTTCACTCAGGTTTTCAATGTATTTAGTGAAAGCAAGTTTATGCGATATGTCTTTTAAAATGCAACCCCTATTGTTCCCCTGCTTAAACAGCACAGTTACTTGGCACCCATGTGATACTGATAGTTTCTGTTTATGTAGTATGTGAATCATCAAACACATCATCTTCTGTTTATTCAGGGTCATTGTTACCAGTTTTTTTTTTCGTGTGTGCATAATTGAACATTATTTTTCAAACAAACTTTTGTTGTGTGTCAGAATGTTTTTTCATAGATGATATCCTGATGAGGGGCTACCAAACAAATCAACTATGTGTGCTTTATTCCAAAGTTTCAAGATAATGGCAGCATATTTAATCACTGTCAAACTTGTTGGAGCACAGTTTTAATTGAAAGCTTAGGTGTCCAGCAAAGTCTGCTGCTGCTGAAATCTGCTCATAACTTAAACTGCTGTTGTATTATATTCTCCTTATGCAAGAAATACTCCCCCATAGACTTTGTTGCATGCATGCAGTACTGCTAATGGTTTCTGTTATGGCGTGAAGGGGGGTGGAGGTACCTCCACCGCCTCCGCCACTGCACCTCTCTTAAGCCGCCGCTACACCTCTCTTATGCCGAGGTGACAGAGGGCGTGGAAATATCCCGCTCTGTCACCCTGTTTAGTATGCTGCCACCATCTTGTTATTTTCAAGAAATCTAGTAAACTTATCATAGCTTGCGTCACTGTCCTGGCTTAACTCGTAATTTGCCGGAGTGTTGGGAGGTCCTGGAGTCATCAAGGAAGAGGGTAACACTTAAGGAATTGCTAGGTTAAAGTAAACTCACGCGCATGTCTATTCTGTTCTATTTCTCTATGTCACTATATACATCTATATGCACTCTTACCGACGTTAGTCGGTTGTACATCACTGGATAATGAACCTGCAGTCATCATTGGTTCTACCTCCTGTCACCCTACTGGCGGGTATTCTACGCCGCGGTATCTCGAATGAACCTAGTCAATCTAGTTAGACTATCTTTCCCTGTGGTTTTACTCTTTACAATTATCACTGTTACACTTAATGTTCATGGCTATATGAAGTTGGTTTCACTTACTTGAGATGAGGAAATAGATGCTCGCCACCAGCGCACACTCACGGCCATCACTCTCTCGGCGATAGCCTCCCCTGAACTCTCAGTTACTTAATATCAATCAAAAGTCTAAAGACAAAAGGTTTTTTGATTAAGTCTTCTAGGGTTTATATAACCTCTCTTTGCTGATTCTTTGAGTTCCGGGTAGGTTGCCTGCCCATTCTGACGTGATTTTGGCCTCCCTCATTGGTTGCCCATCGAGAAGGGGTTGACTCTTTCGGGTCTACCGCCTCCTCTGACTCAGCGTTTTCCTCCTGCCATAGTGTTTATGACCCACTTCATATAGCTCCTTCCTCAATGTCAGCGCTATTACACTGCCGGGTTAGCATTCTAATGACTCAGGCATTCCCTGTTACAATTCTTTGTAGACCTAAGCTTCCTGGTCCGTTTCATCATGGCTATTTCTTAATCTTATAGTCTAGCTACTATTATTACAATTTTACCCCAAAACTATATCTACATGTACGTAACCTTAGCGGCATTACAGTTTCAAAATTTCATACATGACAACTACACATTTATGGATAATGTCTGTTATTCAGACAAATCCCAATGATGACTGTTAATTCTCAGAATTGCAGGGTGTGGAGTTCAGAGAACCCCCATGAATACCACGAAGCTCTGCTATGCATGTAGAAAATAGGCTACTGGTATGCAATATCATGCAAAAGAATTGTGGTCCTACATTTTTTTAAACAACTGTAGCAGGAGAAGTTATTGAGATACTGTGATCCAATTTTGAAATGCAAGAAGAGTTTTTTTGGTCCCAGAATCACTTCCAAAGAACTTGGCCTTGAAGATCACCAAATTTGATACCCTTGGATTTTTATGTGTGGGATCTTTTGAAAAGTTGTATGTTTGAAAGCAGTCCAAGAACAGTCAGTCATCTGAAAGTAAACATTGAAGAAGTTATGCTTATAAAGTTGGTGCAGGTTGTGATGACTCAGGTACATTGTTGCAGAGAGGATGTAGGACATCATTTCAAACATTTATTGTAAAAGTTTTTTTTTTCTTTTGTATTCTATGCCTTCTTTAGGAATTATAGTGCTTTTATAACTTCTTTTACAAATATATAAGAAAATTGGTTGCATTTTAAAAGACATGTACTCTACATATTTCAGTTAAGTATGACTGCAGGGGGCTTTTAGTTTAGAATACATTTTTAAGGTAAGCTCCATTTTTAATGTTATATTTTAGCGTCCTGTTGCACTGATTTATGTCCGTGATTTATTCTGACCGTCTTACAGTGCATACATTTATTCACCTTACTCTTCTCTCTTGCACTACATGTTTCGGCACTAAAGTGCCATCTTCAGGTGCTTTTCGATGTACGTCGAACTACTGCATTGCATGCCCTGTTGTCTTTATATTAAAATAACTAAAATATATATTCGTCATATA